AACCCCTAATCTGTCCACAGTAATCGCCCGTCTACCAGAAGAACCAGTAATTCAAGCACACTTTCAAAAAGATCATTAACTGGAGGGCTGAGAAATCGTCAATATGAGATTGCATTCGTGATATCTAAACCCAAAAACATATAGGATGTTCTGTCCACCTAGTTCTTCTGGAATGTTCTCGGTACAAGGCTGAGTATATCGATAAAAACCGAGGCTCTTAGCCATTCCTTGCGAGTATCTAGTTGATCTTTGGAGAAATACCTTTCTCCGGTTGGGTGCAGTTTGTGAGCAACATGAGTACTGCACATATCTCTTCGGGTTTTCTCATCAATGAAATGATGAGCTCTTCAAGGCATCTAAAGGCATCTTGTTATCTCTGGCAACCTTCTGTTGTATGTTCTTTGAGGTTCAAAATAAAATAGAATCATACAATTAAGGTGCGGAACCACTTCTTTGAACAGAAGCGACGAGAGGAAATAAAAACAAAAATAAGGCATTCACTCAAACAATAACAGACAAGGTTTTGAAAGCTCTAATGAGGCGACAGAACATTGTGCCAAAATCTGGCCTATGGAGAAGCAAATCCGCAATTTTCGCTTGTGAAGTGAGACCGCTACCACTACGCACCATCTACGCTTGCTATCGAAGTGACGAGTTTGCATTTTTAGTTTATTAGGAGAGTTATTTTGCAGTTCCCATTTCAGTAATCGTGAACAAAATTAAAAATCTAGTCTCCATTCAGAACTACTCCTCCTCAGTGAGATCCGAAGTACGAAATCGAAAACTCACGCGCTGAAAAAACAGATAGCAGAGAAATTCGCAACTTTTGCGAAAGAACTAATCACAAATCGCCTGAGTGCCATTCAATAAAAGAACCACGCGCACGCAGAAAAATTGCTATGGGGAGAAACCTTTGTTGGGAGTTTTTTCGAGGAGCATAACAGCAGTGAATGTAAACACCCCGTCTGCAGGCGGCAGACTGCACGATGAAACTCTGTGCAAAAAAAGCAGAACGAGGATCAGACAGACAGAGATTAATCTACGAAAAGAAATCAACGACGTATTGCTCAAAAATTCATGCACATTCATGAACAACCGGCACTGAGGGGAAACAAAAACACATGTTAAAAATCACGTGAATCATAACCATTGCAAACGCATCCCCTAATCCCCCGCAGCCTTACGTCAGCAGCTCATCAAGTGCATTCTTGCACCATTGCGACAGACGAGCAAGTAGTACTCATGACTGCAGAAAGGTTGGTCTGAAACCATTTGTACGATCAGAATCAAGGGGCGCTTCTTTTTGCCGACACAAGCGCACAATTGGGTTCGATTTTATAGAAGTCAGCTGAACACTTGGTTCCACCTGTCATGAAATCCGAGCACTGCTCCCTGCCTTCCTGTCAAGAATAAGAGGGATATCCGAAATATTTTTGATCCATAATGTCATACCACCTATTCTAACAGCGCAGGGACGAAAACTTAAATTTTCAACGAAAACCGAGCTTACAATAATCACAGGCTTTTCCGCAGAACATCTCGCTGAACTTGACAAGATTCATTGGAGAACACAACCTGTTTCTTACAAATACGCGCATGCGAGGAGAACATCAGCTTCATCATATCTTTACCAGTCCGGTCGCCCGTCTAACGCCAGGCTCTCCTTCTTCCTATGATAGAGTTGTAACAATCGCCAAACCGTCTGTTCCTTCTTCATAACAAATTATACTTTTCGGAACACGAAACTTGACAGGGCACGTACAGTAGCGACCAAAAGTCTTCGGTGAAACGCTCGTTCAATCGTATCTTTTTACCTACTTCATGGAATCACAGGAAATTTTAATATGTTAATCAAGAACATGTTGTGAATACTTCCCACTATTAGGCTGCAATTTGCAATTGTTCACGGTACATTAGTGAGACTTAACTCAAATTCAGTGAGAAATATTGATAGCATGTGCCTAAGATAGAACGGTTTATTCCAGAATAATAACATGTCCAACACCGATATTATCAATTTTAAGTAGGGAAATCTCGACTTTTGATCACAGTAGCGCAACGGGGGGGGGCACTGAGTCGACAAATTTTTGGATGGTGACAATGACATGTCGTTCCACTCTTTGCTAATTGATCGAATTTCTCTTCACTGTTTCTACAACATTTATACGCACAACGCCTCTTAAGCTCTTCCCATTCTATTGGATTCAGGTCCGGTGATTGGCTTAGCCACTACAGAGGTCTGACTCGCTGTTGACTGAAGGCCCTCTTCACAACCATCGAGGCGTGTTTAGGATCGTTATCCTGCTGCTAGATCCATCCTGCTGGCATGTGCTGCTGCGCCCATGGCAAGACGATATCAACCATCATGTTTTCATAGTACTCTCCTGTCATGGTACCATCAATTTTCGAAAGAGGACCCATTCCCTTCGAAGAAAAAGCGCCGTACACCATCACCCTTCCTCCACCATGCTTGGTTGTGGGTAAGACGTACTTCGGATTGAGCCTTCCCCCAGATGGACGTCGTACGTACCGTATGCCATCGCTTCCAAACAAATTGAACTTACTCTCATATGTGAAAAGAACCTTACTCCAGTCAGTCGAGGTCCAGTTGAGGTGACAGAGGGCGACGTTTATTCTAGCTCTCCTGTTTCTTGTACTTATGAGCAACTTCTTGGCTGGACGTCTCTCATAAAAAACTTGCATTATTTAGGCGTCTTTTTTACGTCCTCCTACTAAGATTGGTGCCATCGCTAGAGCCGAATGCGGCGGCAATGTCAGGCGCAGTGAGGCGAGGGTTAGCCTTCGACCGACGTGTGATCCGCCTATCCAGGGCTGATGAATTGCACCTGGGCGTTCCCGTCCTCTCAGCATTGCAAACAGATTTCCTAACCTGTGAGCGCTGGATAATCGAAGAGATCGCCTGCTGCGGAATCTTCAAAATTCTCGAGATCGCCGTGACTTTCATACCGATTTCCTTCATGTCCTCTCCGCCTGCCGGACCCCCTGACTGACTTCTCTCCTTCTATGCATGCCTTCAGTGTACAAGTACTGGCGCCTAGCACAAATGAGACTTGAAAAATGCAATTATTACTAACCTTTTGAACAGGAGCAATCGCTTCACCTGCGATACTGGGGGAACGCGTTATTACGCGTTTTGCAAGTAGTCACGTGACCCTCAGTTTCAATGCCAAGAAGTACAAACTTGTTCGAATTAATGTGGAGTTGACATTTACAATTTTTGTCTAGAATGCCTTTATCAGAAAAAAGTTACGACCGAAAAGGCGTTTCACCGAAAATTTTGGCCGCTACTCTATTTGGTATCCAGCATGTGTGTAGAAGTCTTGATGTTGATTGAAAGATCAACCGGTGCAATCCAAATATTTTCACTCACCCACACCCCTTTTGGTCGCAGTCTAGTCCTGTCACCTTCCATCACGTTTATATTTTGCCTCCTATACTTCTACCAAAATTTAGCGCCACCTAGCATAATTGCTTCCATCCTGCCGCCTGTATTCCGACCAAATTCGAACTCTCTAGGTCCACGGTAACTGAAGTTATGAATTTCCGCTCAAGCACACACACACACAAACAAACAGACACACTTAGTGCGTTATACAGTAGCGCTCAAAAGTGTTCGGTCAAACGCTTCCACGCTTTTTCGTTCATAACATTTTTCTTAGTGGAGCAAATCGCGCGAAATTTTGATATGTTCAACTAAGGCATATTTCACACTATCCAACACTATTTGATTATAAAGCAGCCATATCCCCATAACTAGATAAAGATGCTTATGCGTCAGCAGATTTCGCTAAAAGCAAAGTTAGTGACGTTTGCAGTTATTCGCACCTTATGTGTGTTTTTGTTCTCCGCTGGGTTCGGCATTAGCGCTCGTACACTTGAGACACGACGAAAGGGAAAGAAATTCCAGAAGGAACAGCATTCGTATTTCTGGTTGATTTTGAGTCCTAGCCCTTTGGGATATCTGGAACATGATCAGATTGCAGGCTAATAGTGGTGAATATTCACAACACACCCATGCTTCACATACCGAAATTTCGCGTGATCAGATCCAGTGGAAAGGAGTTACGACCGAAAAGTATGACTGAGGAAGCATTTCACCGAAGATTTTTGAGCGCTACTGTATATTGTAGGATTGGGCTTGTGTCGGATGGACCCACATGGGGTCGCAAGAGGCGTGCCTTGTAGGTCGAGAAGGATCATGAGAGGGGCGCGAAGATCAGCCGCGACCTACTCAAGAGAGGGACCTGAGGAAAGTTGGCGCGGGTCTTTTGGGTATAAATAGTTGATGTATTTGTTTAGAGTATTCGGATCCTGACTGCTATAGAGCCCCACGCCTCCTGGCCGCCGCCGACGCTCGTCCTCCCCAGGACACGCCTCGTCCTCGACGTCACCGATTTTTTTTTCACCTATTTCCTTTATTCTCATTGTTATTGTTTTTTTCATTGTTACGCCATGAAGCTTCGTATAGTATCGCGTTTTGTTCAGTGCAAGGCTTAGAATTATCCTTTGGACGGCCAATATAAACCACATGGGGGCCGAACCGCTCCAAAAGGAACTGGACCGAGCACAGAAAAAAAACGTGAGCACTGGCTAACCAGAGAATTCGTTCACCTACTGTTGAAGTGGTTGTTGCCAAGAGTAAGGGCAACCCAGGGAATTGAAGTGGAGAGGGCCACTGTATTCGAGAGAGTTTGAGCTCGTGCTGCCGTCACCGTAAGCAAGGGTGATCTGGAGGGAACAGCACACAATATTATTGAAACTACCATTCTGTTCTTGCTCGTTCTCGCGGTTTCGTCGTGGCAATTAGTGACACCGAGTCACGAGAGTACGATACTCTGTTGCAGAGCATGACAGAAATGGAGGTGGTCGCGTTCGATTCAGCGGAGAAGGAAAATTCGGGAGAGGTGAGTTTCCCATACTAGAGTTTAGCGAGTGAACTAGAGGAGATCAGGATCAGCATTGAGGAAATCCCCAGTAAAATGCGGGAAGGGATGGATGAGTACAAAATTTCGGCCCGGTATAAGAGCAAACATGAAGAGGCTCTGAGGCACGAATTAGACAAGGCGTCTGAAAAATTTAGGGCCTTAAGTAGGCGTCAAGGCCTTAGGGCTCCATTCAGAGAGCAGGATCGACCACGGAGGTAAGCATGAAAGTGGAATTACGGATACGGACAGCTACACAGAGTTGTCGTTACAGAGGCGGAGGGAGGAAGAACCGCCGATTGGAGCGCTTTCAAGGACCAGCTCGAGATGCTATGTGGATCACTCGGCAAAGGGAGTGGCCAGTGCAGGTCAGGATGCAAACATATGCTTATTGAATTACGTTCAGTCATTGTCTTGTCCAGACCCGGGTGTTTTCGAAGGGGAACCTAATGAGAACTTTGACGAGTTTATCCGAAAATTTCGTCGGAAGTACAGTAAGGTTGCGGCCGATGACAAGAGCTTGATAGAGATATTAAGTGACAACCATCTCGGTGGTCGCGCTAAGAATACAATGAGAGCTCTTCCAGTTAGTGTAGTGAAAAAGGGATTTGATGAGGTAGACAAGAATTTGGGAAGGTTGTTATCGAATAACTGTGTGGCAGGGAGAATGAGAGCCCTCACTGAATTGCGGACCCTGCGTATGAGACCTGGACAGAGCGTAGCAGAATTCTGTGTGGTATGGAAGACTTGGGCAGAAGAGCGAACCCATACACTACGGAGGAAACTAGATCTCTTGGGAACGCTCAGATTCTTTTAGAAAACCTATATGAATGGCCCGAGTACGTGCATTTAATGAGTGCCCTTAACCGAGCTAATCCGGAGAGGGCATATGATGAAATTAAGCACTTAGCTCTGGGTATAGAACAAGCAAAGTCAATGTGTGGTAGGAGAGGTTCCGGGCCCTTAGGGTGGAAATCTAGGCATAGTACCTATGCACATAGAACTTAAGATGAACCGCAGAACAGCGCGAGGGACGATACCTCAGGATTCGAAAAGCGATGGCAAGAAAGTCGGCCATCATTACCCAGTGTAGAGGGCCAAGACTTCGAAGGAAGAGGAATAGTGGAAGAAGCTGGCAAGAAGTGTTTCAATTGTGCGAGACAAGGACACTTCGCCAGAGAATGTCCCAGAAAACCAGCGAAGGTACAAAGCCTCAGAAAGGAAGAGGCGGATAAAACTACTGTAAATGCGAATTCCGTGTCGGATATCATTCGTAAAGTGCGTTGTGGTAGCGTGAAAACGCATGAGCAGATTAAACTTAACGACGCTCAGGCAACTGGAACGTTGTTGAGCAGAAACTGTATTTCTGACGAAAGAGTAGACACACAAACCTCTAGAGGAAAAAGGGGTAGGAAAAAGGCTGTAAAACAAGCAAGAAGTTGCAAATTGACTATTGAACATTTCAGTGGAGCATCACTGCTGAGCCCTCTGGAGAAGGGGCATCTACTCTACAAGTGTGCGGATGGATGCCTGGAAGGAGCAACTTTGGGAGACAGAAGGAGTCTCGTTTCCCGGTGCAGCAGCAAAGGAGGAAGTCGGAACCCTGTGGAATGCATGGTTAGCATGCAGCATCTTTAGGAGGCGTGACATCGACGTTGGGAAGAAGATCAGACTTCACCGAGAAGGACATTGCGCGGGGATGTGAGCTCGCTGCAGATCGTTCTGAAGTTCGCCTATGCAAGATGCATTGATTGGACAGACTTCATATGCAATACGAAGGAGATTGCAGACCACTCCACCATCGAGAACCAGTATGTCCGGCATGTGTACTCGGAGGCGCTCAGGAAACTCAGAGAGGACATCGAGGAGCGATCCGTGAAAGAGGAGCAGCCGAAAAAGGGACCAGGGCTTTACGCCACTTTTGAGGGGGCAAACCCAATGGAGAGAGATGGAGATCAAGGAGGAATAGCCACAAAGGTGGTGCAAGGTTTCGACCACTTGGTGAGGATACTAGAAGACTGGAAATCCTCGAGGACGTGGGTAATAGTGTGGCCTCAGGATTCGAGCTTAAAGAAAACTACTTTGGACGAGTTGATCAGAGTGATCAGAGAGTTCATGGAGAGCGGAGGTTCAAGAACCACAACAAGTTGTTCAGCATGATGGACATGTGGAAGCATTTAGATGAAGCCTCAAGAAAACTCGACGAAAAACAAGCCTTCTGCACGGCAAGTAGCGAGATTTTCGATGGAAACATGTTCATAGAGGCAGGGGCGCCAGAAGGAAGTGCTCAATTTTGCAGCAACCATGTTGGAACATCTCTACCGAAGCAGGTGTACGAGGCAGTAAGGTATCATGTAGAAAGAGCGAGGCTGCCAAAAATAGAGAAGCCGACATCGAGGGCGATGTCTTCGCGAGGGGAGGGCACGTCGGATGGACCCACATGGGGACGCAAGAGGCGTGCCTTGTAGGTCGAGGAGGATCATTAGAAGGGCGCGAAGATCAGCCGCGACCTATTCAAGAGAGGAACCTGAGGAAAGTTTGCACGGGTCTTTTGGGTATAAATAGTTGAGGTATTTGTATAGAGTGTTCGGATCCTAACTACTATAGCGCCCCACACCTCCTGGCCGCCGCCCTCTCCAGGACACGCCTCGTCCTCGTCGTCAGCACCCGACTTTCTTTCACCTATTTCATTTATTCTCATTGTTATTGTTTTTTTT